CTGGCTCTAACTATCTATTTCCAGCCAATGGCCCTGGGAGGTGCTGAACAGTGCCCTGATCAAGCTGTCGAAACATGTGGCGAATCTGCGGAAGGAGGTCGACCAAAAGAAGCAGAAGAAACCCCCTCCACTCGCCGCAACAACCGATGATGATGGAATGGTGAATGAGAAAGAGGACGAAATGGATGATGGCGATGATAATCTCCACACCAAGCAACAGCATCTCGACAATCTCGTCGATTTCGAGAAGAATCTCTTCCTCGCCGTCCTCCACGTGCGTTTATTTATTGCCGCATCTTCGACCTTTTTTGCGCCGATTACGCCATGAAATTCGCGGGCACGCAACGATGTTTGTACTGCGTTTTAAAAACCCATTTTCGGGGTGTTTTTTTTTCGAGTATACCGTACTTTCGACAGCGAAATTTTATGGCATTTTACACCGTTTATAGGCGTGAAAAAGCCATAAAAATTTTTTTTTTGGCTTGAAACTGTGTGCAAAAACGGGCAAAAAAGGCCGAAATTTTGGTATTTTTTTTTGGAAATTAGCATCAGAAACTACTAAAAAAAAACACGATAAAATGCCTTCGTTCAGAAATTCTCGATCTTCCTGACGGAACACGTGGTGTTGAGCGAGCGTGAAGGGAAAGAATATCGCGACGAATGGTTCCAATGGATGATGGGACGATTCCGGGAGATTTTCCTCCAGGTCCGCGGCGTTTTTCGCTTTTTTAAACATTAATGTGAAATTTTCAGCTTTAGCAAAATTTTCTGTTGTCTTTTTTTTGGTTTTTCGTTTTCTTTGTCCAATTTTGATAGCTTAAATTCAAATCTAATTCTAAAAACTCAGCTGAACCTAAATTTAAATTTATTTATAATTCAAATATGGATTCATTAAATTTATCTAAATCTAACTCTAATTCATAGTTCAAAAAAATTAGTTCTCAAAATAGAAAAGATAATGCAAAATTTTCCAATACTAGTATTTCTAATAGGGTAATTTTTGCGGAAATCACGGTGTTGAAATTATTATTTTTATTAGTTTTTTGTCTTTTCCGAATGCAAATTTATCGAAAAATTGCTTTTTTGATTCAATTCAGCATTTTCGAATCGTCATTTTCGAAATCCTGGCTACGTTTTGATCCTTTTTTTGCAGCACCACGGCGAGCTGTACCCGATGCGTGACGAGCTGCAGGAGAAGCTCTTCTCCACGGCCGAGATTGCGACCGCCGTCACCGACGTCTTCAAGCAGTCCATCGCGTTCCGTTCCTAGGCCCCCGGTCGATTCTTCTACCTCTCTCTTCCACTTCCGCTGGTTGTCCTTGTTGTTGATGATGGATCTCGTGCGCTCGTTATTTCTCCATTTATCTATCGCGATATTCCCCCCTCCACGGCGCTACCTACCGTACCCCCCCGACACATTTCTTTTTAATTTAAATTGTTTTTATTTATTTATTCCCGTCACACTTTTCGTGCCCCGATTCCCCCACTCTCTCTCTCCCTCTTTTTCCCCTGGAATAAACCGGTTTGCAGCCTGGGATTTTCCAAAACAATTTTTGGTTCTTTTGCATTATCGGGGGGGGGGGTTTGCCTGGGATTTTTCAATTAAATTTTAAAGATTAGTGGTTTTGGTCGATTTAATGGGGTGATATTTTAATGAAAACCTAGGACCCCCCCGATAATGCGAAAGAACCCGAATTTTTGCGGCTTTTTCGGTTTTAATGGCGTAATCGTTTAGATTGGGATCGATTTATAAAGAAAAACAACAACAACAACGAGGGATCAATTAAAAAATTCAACAAAAAACAATCAACAACCAGATGATGGACAGCTACTGCTCGGCGAGAGAGCGGCGAGAGAGAGCGAGAGACAGGGAGCTGGACGCCAAAAGTTAGTTCTCCTTGGTGTTGGGCACGAGCAGGTTGCACGTCTCGAACAGCTCGTCGTACAACTCCTGCAACGGAATTTTTGCCGACATTTCGAAAGGGATCAATTTTTTTGCAACGGTAATTTCGGTTGTCGGCATTTTTTGGGTTGTCGGTACTTCCAAGTTAAAGGAATTAGCATTCTGGACATTTTTGCCATAAGAAATGCCATGGAAATTCACTGTCGGCTCTTAAAAGTCGGGGTTTTCTGCTAGAATTTTCGGCCATTTCAAAATGCCGACCCAATTGCTTGTCGGTATTTTTGGGGGTCGTCGTTTCGTTGGTCGGGTTTCTGACCTGGTACTCGGCATTTGGGCGGATCAACAGAATAATGATGGATCGTCGAAAGCCGGCCGCCAATCCGAGACTCTCCCGCGATGGCGTATACACATATGGGACACCCTTTTCCTCGCAAAATGCCGGAATATGCGAATAGATATCGATCGGGGTGACGTTGCCTGAAAATAACCATTAAAGGGGCCCCGAAATCTGGCCCCAGCGTTGATTCCTGGCAAATAGCCCAATGCGGCCGCAACGCGACCGCGCCGCACGGTGTTTTGCCCCTGTTTGGACGTGAAAACGCGTGAATTTCAAAATTCTGACGCTATTTCTGGAATCCTCATCGAATTTTGATCATTATAGACGTTTTAATGATGAAAATTGATGAGAGAATGGCCGAGATCGAGTGCCTTACAAGGCATTACGACATGTAATCCCCGCCCACTCAAAATGTCGTTGTCGCCCCAAAAAGAATTCGTTTTTTCTGAAACATTTTACGTTTTTTCGCAATCAAATAACGTTTTTGGCACTTCTCGGCAGTGACCCTTTCGTTTTTTTGACCCAGAGGTTCAATCCCCGCACGCACGAATTTTGACTTCTCAGTCCCTGAAGCTCGAATGTCCTCCTCCACTCTCTTCTAAATTCCCCCGACCTACCGGCCAACACGACGATGCCCTTCTCATTCTTCCTCAACCCCTTCGAGACGTCCGCGATGCCGAAACTGAACAAATTACGTTCAAAAATGGGTTGGAAATCAACCAACCGAACGGCGGTTTTCACTCCTGAGGCCTTCTTGATCAGCTTGTACACCTTCTTCGCCAGCTTCCGGTTCGCCATCGGGGATGCGATCTCGTTGGCCTGAAGATAGAAGTAATTCTGGATCGTCTCTCTCTCTCTCTCTCTCTCTCTCTCTCTCTCTCTCTCTCTCTCTCTCTCTCTCTCTCTCTCTCTGGCTCTCCCTCGCTCTCTATCTTTTTCGCTTTTTACGCGTTCAATTTCAGGATTTTTTGGGCTAAAAATACATCACTAGATGCAGTTTTTTACGCGCCATCGATTCGCGCTGTCGAAAACGCAAAATTTCCTGTTCTGAAACCCGAAATTCCGCATTTAGTGGCCTAGCAACGCTTTTTTTGGTTGTTCATTTCTCTTCCAGAATCTTGCGATTTAGTTTAAGGTTTTAGGTTCTAAAAAGATCGCTCGTCGCAGTTTTTTGCGCGCTATCGATTGGTAATGACGAATTTAGCCGAACCTAACTATTTCCAGATTTTAAATATGATTTTCCCTATCCCTGGGCCGAAGCCGAGGGCGAAATTGGCCGTTTTTTAAACTTAAAACATTTTTTCGAATAGCAATTTTTGGTCAAAAACTAGTGCAATAGCGGGGGGGGGGGATAACGGAAAATTTCTAGCTTTTCGGCGCATTAATAGCCCCCAGCGAGCCGAGATAATTGGGGGGTAAAGGGGCGTGCAAGCACCGACCAGAGCGCACTGTTCCTCGTAGGCGTCCTTGTCGGTGACGGGCTCGGCTTCCCCATTGACCGTCGTGTCCATCGTCTCGTCCAGCGCCGCCTCCGATTTTCGGCCCATCTTTTCTGAAAAATTCACCAAAAAATTGCTGAAGTTTCAGAATTAGCAAAAAAAAAACACGAGAAGAACACGAAAACGGAGAGAAACCGGTCATATCTCGGCTTCCTGAGAGTCTATTAATGCGCCGAATAGCTAGGAATGTTCAGCACGCTTGAAACCCCCCGGATAACGCACTAGTTTTTATCAGGAATTGCTGGGAATTTTTTAACTAATTTTAAGATCAAAATCGACCAACTACGCCCGGCCAAAATCAGTAAATCTTACATCTCGCGCCTGTTAGAAATAAGGTACCTTAAAATATACCAAAATGAAGCTCTTGAGCTGGCGATAAAAATAGCCATAGTATCGAGTCGGAAAATCAATGAAAAGCGCCAGGATCGACGGGGTTTTGTTGGGGGGGCCGATCCACGGCGCTGGAGCGGCGGGTCAGGGAAAATTGAATTTATGATCGCGATATATTAAGATTCGGCCAAATCCGATAGTGCCAGACGATAGGCCGTTAAAAACTGCATCTAATGATGGATTTAAAACACACAAAAAAATTATTTAAATCGCAAAATTCGGGCGGAGATCCGAAAAAAGGCGTTGCTAGGCCCGTAAAATCCGGACTTTCGGCATTTAGGATAGAAAAATTTGGGGTTTGGACAGCGCCAATCGATAGCGCTTAAAAAACTGCAACTATTCATACTTTAAACCCAAAAAAATTTGTTTAAATCGCAAAATTCAGGGAGATAAATGGTTAGATTTAAAAAAAGGCGTTGCTAGGCCACTAAATTCCGGATTTTCGGCATTTAGGATAGAAAAATTTGGGTTTTCGACAGCGCCAATCGATAGCGCTTAAAAAACTGCATCTAGTGATATTTTTAAAACCCAAAAAGCAAATAAAACAGCCTAAATTCGGGCGGAGAACCGCAAAATCACTAAAAAAACCGGCGAGAGGTCAAAAAATTCGGGGAATTTATATATAACAATAGTGCGGATCGATAGGGCGCAAAAAACTCTATAAATTACGTAATTGAAGGCATTTTTGGGGGACGAAACGGCAGTCGTGTGGGGGAGCTTTCCGGGGGTGTGTGGATAGGAATGGGGTGGAGGGGGGAGGGGTGTCTGGGGGTCTCTACTATCTACCCACTCTCTCACTCTCTATCCTCACACAACACCCCCGGTCACACCCCAATATCCAATAGACATATAGAACAATTGGATGGTATCTATGACAGAGGAAGCATCCACATCATTACAGGTCAGTTAGGGAGGGCAGGCTAGCAGAGATTCTTTAGGAAATGGGGGGCAGGCTAGCAGAGATTCTTTAGGAAATGGGGGGCAGGCTAGCAGAGATTCTTTAGGAAATGGGGGGCAGGCTAGCAGGGATTCTTTAGGAAATGGGGGGCAGGCTAGCAGAGATTCTTTAGGAAATGGGGGGCAGGCTAGCAGAGATTCTTTAGGAAATGGGGGCAGGCTAGCAGAGATTCTTTAGGAAATGGGGGGCAGGCTAGCAGGGATTCTTTAGGAAATGGGGGGCAGGCTAGCAGAGATTGGAGGAGGAAATGGAAAGGGAAGGGCTAGCAGAGACCATTTGCAGGATTCTTCTCAGCTCTCCATCCAGCCAATTGATGGGAACGGGCTGAGCGAGATAGCCGATAAGCAGGAGAAGGTATGGCACTCAGAAACCTCTATGGTATCTCGATTTAGGATGTGTGTATTTTGGATTGTCGCCAGCAGGGCTCTTCCCTGAAGAATGCCACCAAGTAGGTGTCTTTCTCCGGTCTTAGACTAAACCTAAGCGAAGGCAAGCCTAAGCCAAGCCTAAGCCAAGCCTAAGCCAAGCCTAAGCCAAGCCTAAGCCTACGCATAGGCCTAAGCCAAGCCTAAGCCAAGCTTAAAGCTAAGCCAAGCCTAAGCCAAGCCTAAGCCAAGCCTAAGCCAAGCCTAAGCCAAGCCTAAGCCAAGCCTAAGCCAAGCCTAAGCTAAGCTTAAACCTAAGCCAAGCCTAAGCCAAGTCAACCTCCATTCTCCAGAGTGCAACTCCCCCACGTGCTCCTCCGCCGTCTCCAAAGTGGTCGTCTTCCCCTCTCCAATCTCTCGCCAAAGCTCTGTGAAGATGGCGAGGGCGAGACACAGATTGTTGTCATTCCTGAACCGGAAGCCCCGGCCGGATCTCAGACGGCCATCCTCATCAACGCACTCACCAAGCAGCAGGCCAATCGCCAGATATTTCTCTTTACTGGTGAGTTAACGGGGGGTGGGGGGTGTATCCGGTTACGACAGGGTAATCTGGGGATAGCCAGGTGGAACGGCGACACGCAACGCGCACGCGCCGCTTCGCGGTTTTTAGGCAATTACGACCCACGGTGCTGTTCAGCCGGTCATGCTAGCTTAATCGAGTCGTAGCCAGCTGGCACGCTTCCTTTAAGAACGCGGAACGCAACGCCCACGCGCCGCTTCGCGGTTTTTTTTGAAAACTTGGGCCCGTTATCTCACGTAAGGCAGGTGCATCCGCTTACGCGAGGTTAATCGGCTTGCCACCTTCAAAAAGGGCCCGGTTACGGCGCACTTTTTGCCGCCCCGCCCTGCCCAACGCCCACGCGCCGCTGCGCGGTTTTTCCAGATCGCGACTTTCACGGCGCATTAAAGCATTAAAGCCGATTTTCTTAGCAAATATTGTAAAACAAAAGTTATATCGAAATTACGGTTTATTTTGCCGATTTTACTCAGATTTTGATGGATTTGGCCCTCGAAATGTTTTGCAAAAATCGAAAGGGCATATTTTCGATCCGGGAAAGGTTTTTGAATTACGAAAATTACGTCTAAATTGAGATTTTCCATCACTTTTTATTCTCAAAATTGACAGAAACCCGCCCGAAAATGACCATTTTTGGGGGAAATTCCTCAAAATCGGCATCCTAGTTGCGAAAACATGGCCAAAAATGAGGTCCAGCATTTACCAAAATTCCATTTTTAGCGACAACTTTTTTGTTTTATAATATTTTGCTTAGAAAATTTGGCTGCGCATAGTTTTTACGGGTCCCCATCGCTGGTAGAAATTTGGCCCCGATCCGATAGAAGACGGCCAAATGCCGAGTGGGGGTTTTTTTGGGACACCCGGGAATGGATTACGCGATGAAACGAATCGCGGCTTCCGCTGAATTGGGTGTTTTCAGAAGACGTGGAAATGACCCTCTCGCGCCATCCATCACTCCGTGCCCCACAACCAACACCAACTGAGGGAATTGATGGAGTGAAGACACCGGCTGATGAACCCATGAATTTGTCTTTTTTGAGATTCGAGTGAGTGCAGGCGTTCTTTTCTTTACATCCGAATTTCTCAGCGCGCTCCGAATCAAGGACCTCGCCGGATCCAGTATCAATATTACGCCACGATCGAAGACGAATGATAAGAGACAGGTGGGCAGGCTAGCGGGGGTTCTTTGCGGAATGGCCTCGCTGGCAGTCAACTAGCAGAGATTTTTGGCGAGAATTACGGGAAAGGGCGAGACGAGTGCGTCGCGTATCACGGTGCGGAGCGAGAGTGAGAGAGTGTGAGCGAGAGAGAGAGAACGCAAACGAGAGAGTGAGAGGGAGCGACAGAAAGAAAGAGAGAGACAACGAGAACGAGAGAGAGAGACATAAAGAGAGAGAGAAAGAGAGCGGGAGAGAGGATGAGAGTGAGAGAGAGTAAGAGAGAGACAGCGAGAGAGACACAACGAGAGCGAGAGAGCGAGACAAATACAGAGAGAGAGAGGGAGAGAGAGAAATAGAGAGAGAGAGCGAGAGACATAGAGAGAGAGAGAGAGAGAGAGAGAGAGAGAGAGAGAGAGAGAGAAAGAGAAAGAGAGAGGGAGAGAGGGAGGAATAGAGAGAGGGCGAGAGACATAAAGAGAGAGAGAGAAAGAGAGAGAGAAAGAGAAAGAGAGGGAGAGAGGGAGGAATAGAGAGAGAGGGAGGGAGAGGGAAAGAGCGAGAGACATAAAGAGAGAGCGAGAGAGAGAGAGAGAGAGAGAGAGAGAGAGAGAGAGAGAGAGAGAGAGAGAGAGAAAGAGAGCGGGCGAGAGCGAGAGAGCGAGACACATAAAGAGAGAGAGAGAGAGGGAGGGAGAGAGAGGAGGGAGAGAGGGAGGAATAGAGAGAGGGGGAGGGAGAGGGAGAGAGCGAGAGACATAAAGAGAGAGATAGAGAGAGAGAGAGAGAGAGAGAAAGAGAGACCTCTTTTTCAGATATTCCCAGTTCAAATCCTCCCCTACCTCTACCTGGGCGACGCGAAGACGGCCGGCAACAAGGAGCTCCTCGACAGGTAAACCATTTTTTTTGACGATTTTCCGACCAGTTTTTTCCTTCTACGTTCCTAAACTACGTTCTTTTTGTGCAGCTACGGTATCCACTACGTGGTGAACGTGACGTCGAATCTGGAGAACTTCTTCGAGGACGACAAACGTTTCCGCTATCTGCGCATTCCGGTCGATGACAACGCCTCGTTCAATTTGATCCAATTCTTCCCAGGTACCGTATGTAGATGAAATCTTCTATTTTAAAATTTTCTGGGGGGCGAAAATGACAATTTGAGTGGGGGCGGGGATTACATGTCGTAATGCGTTGTAAGGCGCCCAATCTCTCGATCTCGGCCATTCTCTCAGCAATTTTCATCATTGAAAAGTCTAGAATGATCAAAATTCGACGAAGATTCCAGAAATAGCGTCGGAATTTTGAAATTCAAGCGTTTTCACGTCCAAACGGGGGCCAAAGATTATGCGGCGCGGTCGCGTTGCGGCAGCATTGGGAAAATTCGTGCGATCGGGGATTGAACCTCTGGGTCAAAAAACGAAAGGGTCACTGCCGAGAAGTGCCAGAAAAGTGATTTGATTGCGAAAAAACGTAAAATGTTTGAGAAATGCCGAATTCTTTTTGGGGCAAAAACGACATTTTTAGTGGGCGGCAATTACATGTCGTAATGCCTTGTAAGGCACCCAATCTCTCGATCTCTCGGTCATTCTCTAGCCAATTTTCATCGTTAAAACGTCTAGAATGATCAAAATCCGATGAGGATCCCAGAAATAGCGTCAGAATTTTGAAATTCAGGCGTTTTCACGTCCAATCCGGGGCAAAAAATCATGCGGCGCGGTCGCGTTGCGCCAGAATCGGGGCTATTTGCCAGGAATCAACGCTGGGCGACTTAAAACAGACCGGCTAAGACCCGATTTTCCAGAAGCGATCTCGTTCATCGAGGAGGCCGAGCGGGAGCGTGAGGGATGTCTGGTGCATTGTCTGGCGGGCATCTCTCGCTCTGTCACCATTTGTCTCGCATTCTTGATGTTCACCAGGAAGTCCGTTTTTTTTGCCGCTCAAATAATCCCTGCTAGCCTACCTCCATTTCCTAAAGAATTTTCCGCTATTTCCAGATGCACCCTGGAAGAGGCGTACGACGTCGTGCTGGGCCAGAATGCCAGCATTGCCCCCAATTTCCACTTTATGGGCCAGCTGAACGATTATGAACATTTGCTCGGCATCCAGGTGAGTTGGAACATTTCCACAAGTTGTCTCTGCTAGTCTGCCTCCCGGTTAAGCGTTTTGTAATTCAAATTTGTCAGAAAACGGCTTAGAAAACTTTGTTCTTCGAGAATTTGCGTCTTTTTCGATTTTCTAAGAAAATCGGGTAGTAATAGGGTTTAAAGAGATTGGAACATTTCCACAAAGTGTCTCTGCTAGCCTGTCTGTCAGTTAAGCGTTTCCAGTCCACATTTTTTGCGGAAAACGGCGCTTAAAGTTTAACGAAACCTCAAATTGCGAGATTTTTCGAATTTCTTTGAAAACTTCGGGTTTTAAAGACAATGGAACTTTCCTGTAAATTGTCTCTGCTTCCCTGTCAGTTAAGCGTGTCCATTCGACATTTTTTTCAGAAATCAGCCCCTCCACCTCACAGCCCCTCCTGCAGTGCCGAACAGGGTCCCCTCCACTGTCTCACCCCTCCCGCATCTTCCAAGAAAAACGACAAGGGACTTTTCTATTAAAGAGGGGGCTGAAGGGGGCGTGGCCTAACGGGAATTAAGTCGTCAACTAGCAGAGACCGTTGAGGAAATTCGCTTTTTCCGAATTTTTGCGTACATTTTTACATTCCAAAATTTTTCCGAAAATGCTTAGAACATTTTTCACCCCAATTTTTGGCGTGTTTTTATCCAGGATAAACATAGGCACAGTATAAGCAACTTTTAAATTAATAAAAAACAGAAAATTTGAATTTGTAAATTTTAAAAATTTTTTGCGTAATTTTAACTTAAATTTTGACAAATTTGTAACCTGGAAAATATGCAAATTTCGAAGCCACGCCCCTTCAGCGGCCCTTGAAATCGATTTAAAGCCCCGGCTGCTGTGTTTTTATTTGTTTATTCTTTTCGTGATTTTTGTATTCTGAATTTTCCACGACATCCCGACACCGCCAAAAAGAACACACGACAAATTCCGTGACAATCCGTCCGTACGCTCTCTTTCTCTCTCTTTCTCTCTCTCTCTCTCTCTCTCTCTCTCTCTCCCGCCAAAAAGCCTGAATATTGTCAAAAAACCCCGACCCCATTGCCAAATATTTCCGCCAATTTTTGTGATTTTAAAGGGACCGGCAAGGCATGGCTATGGATTTTGTGGCGCCGCGGCACGCAACGCGCATGCCCTGTCGTCCAAGTTAAACCTGTCGTAATCGATTACGCAATGGAAGGGCTGCGCGGTCGCGTCGCGTGTCGCCGCGGCACAGTCGCAAATCCATAGCAAATCCATAATACATACCTTGCCAGTCCCTTTAAAGAAACCAGGAAGTCGGGGGTAGGCTGGCTAGCAGAGATTCTTTAGGATTTCCCCGACTTCCAAGTTCCTTTAAAGCGCCATTTCGCTCGATGTTTGCTATATTGTCTGATTGTCTACCCGTCTCTCTCTCTCTCTCTCTCTCTCTCTCGCTCTCTCTCTCTTTACCGTACACCTCCATGAAATGTGTCCAAAAATTGACGATGACTTTCAGCGCTCCTTTTTTCGATATATAAAGCATTTATAGTCACGCCCGGAATCACATGGCATAATCGAATGGCCAAAAAGGCGGTTAAAGGTGTGGTGACAGCGGATTTCGGCATTTTGGCTGACAGACGGCAGCCAGCCGATCGGTTTTTTGCCCTTTCTGGCTGCCAGTTTACCTTGCTAATCGATTACGCGACGAAATACCTTCGAGGGCAACAAAGTACGGGCTAAAACACAAAAAAAACGTTGATTTTTCGGTTTTCTGGTGTGACTTTTGCGGGGCCAACCAACCGGTTACGCGCTGTAAATGGGGCACTACAAACAACACTACAAACACTACAAACTACAAGCTGCGAGTTCTCGAGCCGGTTACGGTAGGTTAATTAGCGGGGGGGGGGCGTCGCTTTTGGAATGGTTCTTTTCAGAGCTAGATGGGTTTTCTTTTTTTGAATAGTGGGAGGGCATTCCCTGAATGGCTGGAGGCCTCTAGACCCTGCTCCTATGCTTTCACCCCCCACGCAACCCGGCCAACCGGAAAAGGGCGGTGAGTGACGCCCAGGTTACGAAATAAGGGGCAGGCTAGCAGAAATTCTTGGTGGAATCCCTTCTCTGGCTGTCAGTTTATTGTTTCGGGAGGCAAACGGGCAGAGATCCTTTGCGGAGATGGACTCAAAAACAGAAACCAAGAGTTGTGGTTCTGGCGGCTACAAACTACACGAGGGGCAGGCTGGCTGGGATTCTTTGCGGAATCGCTTCTCTGGCTGTCAATTTATTGTTACAGAAAATCTGGAGGCACACGGGCAGAGATCATTTGGGAAATTGACTCCAAAACGGAAGCCAAGAGTTGTGGTTCTGGCGGCTACAAACAACACGACGGGCAGGCTAGCAGAGATTTTTGCCGAATCGCTCCACTGATAGACACTTTATCGTCGCTGAACGTCTGAGCGCAAACGAGCAGAGATCCTTTGAGAAATTGAGTCAAAACCAGGAGCCAAGGATTGGGTTTTAGTGCGCGGCTGCAAACTACCCGAGCGGCAGGCTAGCTGGGATTCTTTGCGGAATCGCTTCACTGGCCGACAGTTTAGCGCTTCAGAAGATCTGAGGGCAAACGAGCAGAGACTCAGCTGGAAAGGTCAAGGGGAATTCTATTTTCGGCTTTTTCTCCGATCAGGCCGGCTACTCGAAAATGGCTTTTCACGTCGCGGAGGGCTAAAGGGCATCGTCGGGCGGCAATTTGTGTCAAGAGAGAGCGAGAGAGAGAGAGATAGAGACAAAGGGGAGAGAAAAAGACTGAAAATAGCGGTGTACGCGTTGCTGCCCGTTGATGAATCGTATCATCCTCTCGCTCTCTACTGCCAGCTGGGGCTCCCCCTCACTTTCTCTGCGTCTCTCTCCCTCTCCCCTTTCTCTGCCCCCTCTCCCCGTCCCCACTCTCTCTCTCTCTCCCTTGGGTCACATCGTGGGCCCTCCCCCCTCATGGCTCTAAGGCCCCAAACCTCAGCCCCTCCGGCTCACGCGGCCCGCCATTCGGCCTTGTTTTCGGGGTTCTGGCCGGCAATTTGTAGTTTTAATCGATTACTTCATCATAATACTGTTCAGCCGATAAACTACAAACTACAAACAGGCAAAATTGATAGTCTTTCGCGTAAAAAGATACCCTTTGTCTATTTCGAACGGGGGATTTATGTTTTCTGGCAGACAGTTTATAAGTATAATCGATTCCGCCACTTTAATCATGCAAAAATGATAAACTACAAACTACAAACTGCCGAAATTTCGGGTTTCCTTTAAAATTAAAAATTTTGTCGACTCCAGAACGATTTTTTTCCGTTTTTTTAAATGTCATTGAACTGGTATAACCGGTAACGACACTTTAATATGGCTAAAACGATAAACCACAAGCTACAAACTACCAAAATTGTTAGTTTTTCGCGTAAAAAGAAATTTTTGCCGGTTTCGATCGGGGTTTACGTTTTCTGGCAGACAGTTTATAAGTTTAATCGATTACGCTATCATAATGTGGTTCCAACGACAGACTACAAGCTACAAACTGCAAATTCCCATCAAAATTAGCGTTTTTTCGCAAAATCCCACGCTCTCGCGAATATTCTAATGTTGTTTTCGGGTTTTCTGGCTGTCAGTTTGTAGTTTTAATCGATGACGTTACCTGATTACGACGAAAACGGGGGACTACAAACTACAACCAGCAAAATTGCTAGTTTTTGTGTAAAAAGAAAATTTTTGGCTAATTTGGTCCGGTTTTTCCGTTTTCTGACAGGAAGTTTGTAATTATAATCATAATTAATTAATATAATTACGCTACCCTATTTTTCCGAAAAATACAAACTACAAGCTGTGAAATTGCAAATTTCGTCTATTCCAAACCGGTTTTCACGTTTTCTGGCTGCCAGTTAACAATTCTAATGGATTACTCTATGAAAATTCGGGCAAATACAAAACTTAGTTCTGCGCTAAATGAAACTAAAGTTTTCTAAAGCCAGTTTATGTTTTGTTTTTCAGTTGGAAAGATGACTCGGGCGATGGCGAAAGTCTCGGAAAGCTTCACCCCAATACAACCACCACAGGAAGATATCGAATCACATCGCAAGGCACTTGGTAAATAACGGGGGGGGAGGCAAGCTAGCAGAGGTTTCTTGCGGAAATTTAGATTTTTTGTCCCAGTCACCGTCCCTTTAAATGATACAATGAACGTTTTATATAGTAGCTAGCTAGCAAAGACCATTTAGGAATTTTGCGTAAGCGTGGAGGGCATGCTAGCAGAGGTTCTTTGGGAGTTTCTACCTGTCAGTGTCCCTTTAAACTCGATTTTTTAGCGACGACTCCCGGGAAACGCGCTTTTGATGATGTGTTCCCAATAACAGAGGGTGAAGTGCGAGAAACACTGAATCACGAGGCTAAGAGAACCAGGTACGGTAGATTTAGGGGTGTCCGCGCACCTTTAAACCGAGCAAAATCGAAAAAATGTGCAGAACGGTAGAGATTTTTTTGCGGAACCTTTCAACTGGCAGCCAGCCCATTGGAGAACCTACAAAAATGGGGCCAGCTAGCAGAGAGTCTTTGGGGAAATCTTAGTGGCAGTCAGCTGCAATTTGAAAAATTTCAGAATTTTCTCGCAGAAGAAGCTGAAACGACTGCAGATTGAGCGGCTGGAACAAGGGACATGTCTGAAGGTGGGAGAGAGAGAGAGAGAGAGAGAGAGAGAGAGAGAGAGAGAGAGCGAGAGAGAGCGGGCAGGAGAAAGGGATAGAGAGAGAGGGAGAGAGAGAGGGAGGGAGGGAGTCAGAGAGAGAAAGAGAGAGAGGGGGAGAGAGAGTGAGAGAGAGGGAGGGAGAGAGAGTGAGAGAGAGACGGTCGGTCAGAAGTCTACAAATCCATCGGTTTTGGCTGTTTAAAGGAACCGGTAAGGCACGGCTAGGGATTTTCTGGTCCTCTCAGTGGTTTGGATGGCCGGCTAACAGGGATTCTTGCGGAATTTCCCATTTCCAGTATCGCCTTGAGTCCTACACTGATGCTCGGTCGACAGTCGAGACAACAGAGGCCTGTCTACCCGGCAGCGCCTTTCGCAGCGAGCCCGACACGCTGGTCAGTCCAAAAAAACTTGAACCCTGCATAAGTTGGCATCCGCTTACGCCATGTAATTAAAAAAAAGCGTTTAATAGATTATGGTATGTAACTTTCTGTTGTCCGGGAATCGATTACGCTAGGTAATTACTAGTTAACCCAGGTATCATCCGATTACGCGATAAATTCCGCTTAAAAGGCGTGATCGATTACGCTATGATATACCCAATTACGGCTCGTAATCAATTACGAAATCTAATAATTTTCAGGGCTTCCTCTCCAACAACAATTTGAATCCGTGGGATTTTGAGGTGCATCCGGCGGCTATGTTTTCTGATCAGGTGAGCAGCCTTGGATATCTCTCCCTGTCTCTCTCTCTCTCTCTCTCTCTCTCTCTCTCTCTCTCTCTCTCTCTCTCTTTCTCTTT